AATACCATTTTCATTCTCTACCAATTTAAATTAAATAAAAATCAGAATTAAATGGACATTCATTCTTTTTAATTCTAATGTTGAAAGAACATTCCTCCAAAACCATTTAAAAAACATGCATTTTTCAAAAAGAAACTCCAACCCAATAAAAGAAAAAATTCTAAGAAATAAAAAAAATATAAATTCTAATAAACATCTTAAAGAAAGAAAGAAAAAAAAATCAAACACCCCCCATAACCTTCATTGAAAACTTTACATACAACATAAAAAATATATAACATTAACCAATAAAAAGCCACATTTACCTAACAACTCGTTGTGATTCATCCATAATGCTACAACACATGGTCTGGCTTCACCTAAAACATGTCGCACACCTATGACTTAATGATGGACAATATCATAAAGGTTGAAAAAAGATTAAAGTGTAATAAATTTTCTAAACCCAACACTTAAAATGAGAGATAAAAACTAAGAAAAATATCTCAATAAAGCATAGAAATTCAAGCAAAGCACACACTATATAATAGGTCCAGACGAGAAAGCAAAATAGTCAAAAAAAATTAAGGAGAAATAGAAATTACCTAACAAATTGTAATCTTTTACATGAAATAAGTGAAACCTTGTTAAAAAGCCAACAAAAATAAAATAAAAAACATAGTATAAAAAAGAAATGTTATGTAAAAAAACAAATATAGATAATAAAGCTCACCATCCACCCCATGGTTTTGGTCTGCATTAGATCATTACCCTCCCAAGGTTTTTGGTCTTCATAGGTTGTTTGATTGAAGATTAAGGAAACAACAACTATAATTCATTCACCTAAAATATTTTATCTAAGATAAGTTATATTGCCAATCATTTTCTATTCCTAATGTAACTAATATTAAGATAAGTTATATTGCTAATCATTTTCTATTCCTAATGTAACTAATATACCTATATGTTGAACATCTATCTAAATTAATGTATAGATACCTATGGTTAAAGATGTGTCTTATACATAAGATGAAACCCAAGTTATAGATGATTGTTGTTTTAGCCATTTTTAATTGTTATCACAATAATGATTTGTGATGGTTTATATATTCTAGACACATTTAATAAATTGACGTTACCATCATGCTGATAACAAAATGATAGGTTATTGTTGATCAAGGCTTATAATTAGTGATGATCTTTCAAACAACGTTAATGAATAACAAGACATGCTCATGTGAGGTCACCTTGACCTGGCCCTAAACTTAAGAGGGATGATGGCAATCATTTTCTTATGCAATCAGGGATTCTAGGATAATATTCTATAATGATTCATTTATATTGAATGATTTTCTATATCTTAGTCCTAAATGTCTAAATAACAACAACTAGCGGTTTAACTACTTGGAGGTAAGATCTAGAGATACCAAAACAAATGTCCTTTATTGGACCAAAATGCCTACACTTTCAAGATAACAACCTTTAAGGGTTCATTTACCTTGAAGCATGTTGTTGACTTAGCAATAATATTTATTGTTTCATGTTCTTATAATAATGGCCCTAATTATGTTTACGCATACTAGTCTAAAAAAACTCGTTTATGAACAAGAATTGTTGGTGAATAATCTTTTAGGACCAAAACATTTATTATTATTATTATTTGAAAGAAAAAAAATTATATTATATATGAATGGAACACCTTGTTACCCTAATCAATGCCTAGAAGTCATTATATATGAATGGAAAACCTTGTTACCCTAATCAATGCCTAGAAGTAACAACTTTTAAGGTTTCATTTACATCAAGAATAATTGATGGATATATCCGATTGAAAACTTATGCATTTTTATTTTCCAAAAAGGAGTTTTAATTTTAAAAATTAAAAATTTTAAAAAAGATTTGACATGTTTGCCTTTAGTAACAAAGGGATTCTTTATCGACCAAACCTTTCATGTGATGGGTATTATAATCAAAATATAAGATCGAGTATAAATATAGAGAAATAACAAGCATGCATGAAAAGGGATATTGTTTCTATGTTATTTGAACCGAGGGACAATACTAACATATGTTCATGATATTAAATACATAAATAATCATACATGAAGAAGAAAAAGATGACGGTATTATGATGCTAAGGATGACAATGGATGAAAACATGAACAAGAAAGCAATATGCAAATTTGAAAGATTCGTCCGACATCATTTAAATGCAAATACCAATTCAAATAAACCATCTAAGGAGGATGAATTTGGGTTATGATGGATGAAACAATGTCAATAATGATGATACATGACAATCACATGTTAATTGAATTGGGGGTTGGCCAATAGAATATGTCATTTTATGCTTGTTGATTACTGCTAACAATATAGATTCGTCCGACATCATTTATGCTTGTTGATTACTGCTAACAATATTGGTCATTGTCTCCTGTGGATAGAGATCAGAGTTAATGAAGTTTTATTTTATTTTTCTCTTAAATATATTCATATAAAGATCATTGGTTTAAATGGATCATATAAATAAATAGTTCTTTCTCTCTCCTCGATATATAATGATCTAGGGGTTGTTGACTTTTATTGATTGAGGGGTTTTGTAAGAAGCTGATAGATGAAAAAAATGGTGGTGGTCTTATCATAAATAGAGTTCGGGGGAGGGAGGAATTAATAAGAGAAATTTTGGTGGAGAGAGGTTGTTTGTTGGCTAGCAACACAACTGTTTTGGTGTTTTTGTTGGTATTATATTGTCGATGTTATAGTGGTACTAGTATAGAAATATAAAGGTTTAATTTTAAAAAGAGAGGGGAGAAAAGATAAAGGGGTTGAGGAGTTTTTCTTTTGTAGAAGAGGTGATGAAGAAGTTAATGAATATATTATTATTATTATTATTAAGCACACATTTTCTCTTCACCAATGGTAACTAGGATTGTTTCCTTAAAAAAGAGGTAAGAAGGAAAAAGATGAATAATGTTCTCTTTTTCTCTGACACATTTTTTTTCACTCCCTCTTAATTTTTTTATGATGGCGAGGGGTTTTCTCCTTTTTTGCACCCCCTTAGTTATTTGAAGAACTAATAATCCAATTTTTTTTTTCTTACTTTGCGTTTCACCCATCATCTTTTTTAATTTATTTTTGTATTTTGACTTCATTTTTTAAAGTCATCTATCTACAAGATAAAAATAATAAAAAATTATGAAATGAAAATGCATTGAAAGTATATTTTTAGAAGTTTTTGCATTTTTTTGAATTTTTTGGAAATGAGATCAAAAAAGAAATTATGACAATTATAATGAATCTTTTTATTGACCTTTATTTTAAAGAGTTATTTTTAATTATTTATGATGTGAATGAAACTTAATAATATTGCATGAGTAAAATTTTTATTAACCTTTGTTTTAATAAATATTTTTCTTAATTATAAAATATTTGTAAAAAAAGAAGTTTAAATTTTGTGAATTATGTTGTATAAAGGAGTAAAAAGTAACATAAGATAACAATAAAAAAAATACCATATTAAAAAAATAAGAATTCAATTTACTAATTTGATGAACTTTGATGTAGTTTTATTATTTTCAACTTTAACATTCTTGATTTTTTTTAAAAAAAAATTAAAGCATTTTTAGAGTTTTTATTACTAATAATGTAATATATAAAACATTTGTACCACGTAGGAGTGATTTAAAAAGCTTATGTTCTGTTATTTAGGATTTTATGTGGTTAATAAATAAGGAAATAATGGAAGAAAAAGACCTATTTTTTAGGTTTTAATAATTTATTAATTTTTTTTAATATTGGTTTTATTTTCCTTAATTAAGGATGGTGTGAATTTACACGTTAATATTACAGATATATTATAATGTTATTAAGTTAGTACTAATTTATATATTGTTTATGGATATTTTCATGTACTTTATTTTTTATTTAAATTAAATATAAATAATACTGGTATAAGATGCCATTTTAATAAATAAATAAATAAGATTTTTAAAAATTATTGAATCTTGTGGGGGGCGTCATATCCATCGCGCACACACAGTGCATCTGTATCCTAGCTTATCTGAAACAAAACCGAAAGAAACTATAAACTCTGCAACTGTCTGACGATCCTTTCTGTCGTGCCCCCCAAATCCTCGTACTTGGAATCCATACAATCGAGTCACACAAACTTTAAGGTCTGCATTGTGAAAAGATGGCCTTTTTTTATGGAAAAAAAAAAAACTATCTGGGTTTGCTTTGAATTCTTGAGTTTCTTTTGACTTGCATTTTTCTTTTGGTGGTTAAACTTCAGTTGTTGAGCCGTTTCTTTCTTGGTTGGACTAGCGGATCAAGATGCATTAAATTCTCACCAACAATATCTTAGCTTAGCTTAGGTTCTTGTTTATTCAATTCAATGCGGGCCGAATCACTCTGACTCTTTTCTTTTAACTCTTAGGTTCATAAAGTGAATTGCTCCATTTATTGATTGGCTCTAAAGACTTTTCAATCACATGGGCATTGCAATTATCCATATTTTAGTCCATTTTGATCCAGATTTTCTATATAATAACCTCTCTTTTTTTTGTATGGGACAAGTGACCAAAACAATTATTGGATATGTGTAGGTTAAGGAGCAGGTGATAAATTTCTTTTGTATTTTTTTCTGTTGGATTAATGGCCGGTTTAAAAGAGGACTCAATTCTTGGAATTGACGGTATCACAATAAAGGAGGAGCTTGAGATTGACAAGTTGAGAGGGGACCACCCAGTTCTTGAAACTGGCGGTGCAGTAATAAAACGGGAGTCTTTGATGAACAACAGGTCTGTTATTGACAAGGTGAGAGAGGAGGGGAGCTGTGGTCGAGGTGAGAGAGACATGGTTCCTCCCACTAGTAATTCTATTCACAGGTCAGGTTCCAGACCACAGCTTGACCTTAGCAAGGCTGCAATTGAAGGGACTTTTGAGGAGAGAGATCCTACAATTCTGTTGCCTAATCAATCTGATGATATTTCACATTTGGCTCTTGATATTGGAGGTAGAAGCTATTCATTATTCACTTGTGCACTTCTCTCTGTGTTTTTTTCCCCTCGTTTTGGTGACTTGATTATGGTTTTTTATTTGTATTCTTGCATGGGAGTTGCGTTTTTGCTTTAGTTGTTCTGAATTAGTGTCTCATTCGTTAAGTGTGATTTGGTTTTCTGTGTTTGGCTCTTTGGGAGAACGGGGCAGAAATAAAAATCTGTATGTTGGTTTGCTTCATGTTCCCACTTGCATGCGTGTTTTTCTTATTTATTTTCTTCCTTTTTCCCCCTGTTATTCCTTTTAGTGTTTTCTCGAACACTTACCTTTATTCATTTCATCAACTGCACTGAGGAAGAAATTGCTTCCACACCTACATTTTGATGGTTTGTTTGCAGGAATTTGAAATGAAATTTCTAAAATTCAACTTGGTATACATTGTATTGCCTTTTAGTATATTATGTTCATTAAACTTAAGGGGACTTTCTTTCTCTTTTTCTGTGATTTCATCTAAAGAATTTGTTTTGAATGTTATTTACATTTATGTGAAATCTGTAAGTAATGTCCAGCATTCTGCCATGTTGTGAGAGATTCCAGAATATTTATTAATTCAGTTCATATCTTTTTCAATGTATATTTAGAGTAATAGTTTCAGCTATTCTATCTTTTAACTCACAACTGCTTAAAACTGACATGGTTAGTCTTTCTTCACTGGGTCATTGTCAGTTTATAGGAAAGATATATTTTCAACTTATTCAGGTTCTGATCAGAGTTCAGCTGCTTTGAAGAGTGGTCTTTGGTTCTGTGTTAGTAACGATGTCAATATCAGCTTCTGGCATGTTATTTGGGTTGGATCACTTCATCTGAATGCGTCATATCTTGATTTATACAGTTTAGCTGAGGACAGACTGTAAGATAGCTGAGTTGGGTGAGTAAAAGGGTTCTCTCTTGGAATGGAAGTTTAAATGGAGGAGGGCTCTTTGGGTTTGGGAGAAACAACTGGAGGGTAATTTGTTACTTGACACATCTGCTGTTCATTTATGTTATAATCTAAGAGATAAATGTATTTGGATTCATGATGTCAAAGGTGATTACACTGTTAGATCTTGCAGCTCCTTGATAGACCGTGCAACTCTTGGAGAGAATTCTCCAATACAATCCTTTGTCTGGAAATCTATTTTACCACCAAAAGTTTGGAGAGAATTCTCCAATACAATCCCTTGTCTGGAAATCTATTTTACCACCAAAAGTAGAAGACTTTGTTTGGCTTGCTGCCATGGGGAAAGTGCAGACAAATGATTTTTTGCGGCAAATTAGAATTGTAGGCCAAGCTGCTAGCATGTGTCTGCTTGCAATTCTACATGTGAAGCAGCTTATCATCTTCTTTTGCAGCAGAGATGTATGGCTGGTGTGGTCTCAAGTTATGAATTGGTGCAGTTACTCTCGGTCAATTCCTAGCAGCGTGGATGACTTTTTTCAGCAGTCGGATTTGTTTGCTCATGGTCATCTGCAAAGGAAAGTGTGGTACAGGGCAATTTATGCAGTTTTATGGTTTATATGGCTAGCTAGAAATAACTTGGTGTTCAACAATGTCAATCCAATCTGGGAAAATATCCTATGCTTAACATTTCATAGGATTGCTTATTGGGTGAAATCCATTGATGAGACCTTTGTTTGCACGGGAAATGACTTAATTAAATGTTTAGAAGCGGTCAAATCCTATTAGTACATGGCCTACAATGATTTGAAAAAATGCAGTTGTCTGGAGGCAGCAGGATGTATGGTGTAGGGCTCTATTTTCTCTCCCTTAAAGTCCTTTATAGATTTCGAGTCGGGAATAGAGCAGTGGCTTATTCAGTGCTATATCACAATTTATTCTCGGGAATAGCAGTTCACAAAACGTGGCATGGGACATTTGTCGACGGCTGGAGTCGTGACATCCGAGCGAGAGGTCAGACCCATCCCATTCATCCTGGTCTGATCCAAATGGATCTTGTTGAATGAATTGATCCATTGTTGTATGCCTTAGTTCTTAGTTCATTTTTTCTTACTCGGACTTTCTTGTTAAATGCCTTTTTCTTTATTGGAAAAGAAAGAGGGTTGGAACAAAGGAAGAAACGAGCTTGGGCACTTGCAGATGGAATTTCGATGGTTCTGCTTTTGGGAAGCCAGCAATCTCAGGCATTGGAGGTGTCCTCAGAGATCACGAGGGGAGTTTCCTTTGCATTTTTTTTTCTATGCCCGTTGGCATTAAGTAGTTCAGTGATGTTGAAATGCTGGCAATCACAAGGGCTATGGAGATTATCTCTCTCTTGCAAATAAGATGCACTAAGTTTTCGAATCCTTCCACGAATGCAACTCAACGGGTGAGGGGAAAAGCAGAGGGCTGGCTGTGGAGACTACACAATGCTTTCTATCCTTAGTAGTAAACTTCTATAAGCTTTAGCCGGGTAAATATAGAGGAGAATGCAGTGGCTGATTCTGTTGCTACACAGAGCCTAAGTAGACAAGATGAACTTCTTGCTTGGATGTAATTTAGTCTCTTGTGTTAGTTTTTTGTTGTACATTCTTTCAAGCTGCTTCCTTGCTGCTTTTCCATTTTATTATGATTGATTGATTTTCATCATAAACTAAAAAAACTCACAACTGCTTTTACCTTGTTCTGCTTTCCTTCAGTAGGTAAATTCTTCATTAAGTGTTCTAAAATTTCATTTTGATGTTGAGCTGAATGTTGATGGATCACCTGTGGTATGCATGAAACATTAGTTAATGGTGTTTATCTGCAGGTTCTCTAATCAAGTTGGTGTATTTTTCAAGACACCAAGACCGGCCAACTAATGATAAGAGGAAGAAGACAGTGAAGGAGAGATTAGGAATTTCCAATGGTAATAGGAGAAGCTACCCCATTCTTGGAGGAAGACTTCATTTTGTCAAGTTTGAGACAAGCAAGATCAATGAATGCTTAGATTTTATTTCTTCCAAGCAGCTTCATTGTGGTGGTATGCTTTCTCTGACTTGATGATCTTTCTTCAACTAATATCTTTTTTCATTGGAAGCAGACCATTTGCTTTGATGTTTCACTTATTTGTTCGACTGCTTCCAAGTTAACAACTTCATTTTCATTACCCATTTCTTTTCCTTTTGTTCCCTATTTTTTCTTGATAACCTCGGTGATTTTCTTGCAATTAGGCATGGATTCACATAGTTGGCATTCCGAGACCTCACCCAATGGCAATGCTGTAATTAAGGTGAACTTTGTTTTTTCTCATTAAATTCTGCAGGGGGTACTTTTGCATCACTTGTGGTTCAAATACCACCTTTATTGAAATTAGAAGGTAACACGTGTAATCTGTAAAGAAGATGTTAGTGGGAAAGGAATTTCAGAAGTTTTTCATCTTTTCGTTAAGATATGGTTTGACCTAGTTTTAGCAATTTCCTTGCATTGAAATCAAAATATGTTGGAGAATTTGTTACTGCTAAACACGACAATGCTACTTGCTCCTCTGGTTATGCAATTAGACTTTGTATTAAACCCACATTCTTATACCACAGTTCTAAGAATTTGTGAGTACCTTTTCAAGCCTCAAATTTGAAGCGAGGTAGAAAAACCAGGTGTTAGACCCACCCTCTCTAGCTATTCTTTAATCATGTGCAAATTATGATTTCCTTGCTTCTTAATTCATGATTTTAATATTACAGCCGGTCATCAGTATACAATATGAAGGAGAAAACTTTATAATAAAGACTCAAATCATCTAATTTATACTAGTCAACGTCTATTCATACTTGTTTGGCTCTAACAGATATTCCTGTTGATTTTCTGAGAAGGCCACTGGCGGCGGGGCATACAAGTTTGCAGACCTCTTCAAGGAAAGGCTTGGGGTTAGTCTTGACAAAGAAGATGAGATGGATTGTCTTGTGGCAGGAGCCAACTTTTTGCTTAAGGTGGGATTTTGAATTCCTATTACCACATTTTTTCTAATTCTTGTTTATTACTTTAATTTGCTCATGTTTTTTGAAAAAGGATGATTTCTGATAAGTAGTTTGTGTTTGTGCATCTTTTTAAACTTGCTGGTTTTTGAAATATTTGAACTTCTGTTTTGCCTTTTCTTTTATGGTGAGAAGAAGAGAGTATTCTTATTGGAAAAATGCCATCAGCATTGAGTTTAAGTCTTGCTCTTAACTATTATAGCTTAGTAGATTGTTCCTATCTTCATTTGAATATGATGAAACTTCCGTTCTTGTTACAATTGGAATGATGGAACTGCTATTGGTTTGTTGGCCAACTTCATCATCTATCACAGTATTTTTTTCACATGCTAGCTTTGTAAGCATTTTTGACATGCTTTTGTTGGATCCACAATTTATTAAGACTTGCTATTTTCAAATATATGTTAACCCCATAGCTCTTTGAACCAACTTTTGAGTAGGCTATTCGCCATGAAGCTTTCACACACATGGAGGGCCAGAAAGAGTTTGTGCAGATTGATCAGAATGATCTGTTCCCTTATCTTCTTGTTAACATTGGATCTGGTGTTAGTATGATCAAGGTAAATTAGTCTTTTTCTCAGTTTGTTATTTTCACTTTAAGTATGGGAAAAACTCATAAAGAATAAGCATGCCCTTGATTTTTGTAGGTTGATGGGGATGGGAAGTTTGAACGAGTCAGTGGCACAAATGTTGGTGGTGGTACTTACTGGGGCTTGGGAAGGCTGTTAACCAAGTGCAAGAGGTCATTATGATATCTAATCTTCCTATATTTTCACTATTCATAAATATTGTTAAGGTCTCATTTTATTGATTTCCTTTGCAGTTTTGATGAGTTGCTAGAGCTGAGTCAAAAGGGTGATAATAGAACAATTGACATGCTGGTTGGTGATATTTATGGTGGTATGGATTATAATAAGGTATACTCTTGGTTTGTTCATTCCTTTCAGTATAGCAGTTAGTAAGATGTTGTGAAACTGCAAGGCACTCACTGTGAATTGTCATCAAGATCCAGGTTCTTTTTTTTAAAAAAAAAATTCAATATGTTATGGTGATCATGTATAATCAAAAAAAAAATTTCAATATGTTATGGTGATCATGTTTCCTCTTATCATATCTTTATAGATTGGTCTGTCAGCATCAACCATCGCTTCTAGTTTTGGCAAGACCATCTCTGAAAAGAAGGAACTTACAGGCTACAGACCTGAAGATATTTCCCTGTCCCTCTTGCGAATGATTTCATATAACATTGGGCAGGTGAGTTGCATAAACGATTCTGTTATGCAAATTTTTCCATAGAAAGAATGTCTTGGAATGATGATAAACCCATGTGTGCTCTAGATAGTTATTTATTTTGTCATTTGACATTAGTTTTGTAATTAACTTATCTTTCTATATCATTATTGTTTTTTTACTTAACTGTATTAATAGTAGTACTACAGCCTGTTTTAAGTTTTGAGAACAGTTACAGGTTTGAAGTGCCTGACAATTGACACATAGGAAGTTTGTTTTTTTTTTTTTTTTTTTTTTGAAGTTTCAAGTGAAGGAAATGACTCCATTTGGTGAATAAAAACCTACAACCTCTTGGGGAAAAAATGTATTCCTTTTCCCTTAATAGTAGAATGTGGTTGCGGACAAGTTTTGGCATATATGATAATTGTATAAAGTCTGAATTCTCTCTCAACCATTATTTTTGCTGCTAGTATAATTATCGTCTTTAAACCTGAAATTGGAGCCTTTTACCTTTGAGTAGCCCTCTTCATGCACAACTTTGATCAGACAATTTAGTTGCATGTATAGTGAATATTTTTCAATTCTCAAGTGGAAATTCAATAACTACAGATTGTGTGATGCCTTTTCTAGTAATACCTTGCTAGTCATGACCTCTAGGGACATGTTTTTAGATATCACGGATCGTGTCATGTTTGTTGGTAAGCAAATTCTGATTTTTTGAGTTGATTGTCTGGTATTATTATGTTAGGTAACTTACTGACTAATTGACATGAATGCGGTGGCTGTCTTTCTTGTATGCAGATTTCATACCTGAATGCACTTCGATTTGGGCTTAAGAGAATCTTCTTTGGAGGGTTTTTCATTAGGGGTCATGCATATACAATGGATACAATTTCCTTTGCTGTTCATTTCTGGTGAGTTTTTTTTCCAAGGTTTAAACTTTAGTCTGATCAAAGTAAGTTTGATAATAGATAGCGATGTTGTTTGCATGAATGCTACTGCTTCCTTGCTATTTTTTGTTTCCATGATTTGGCTCTCTTTATTCGTTTTTTTCTTCTTCTTTTTTTCCATATTCATTGTCTAGGTCAAAAGGAGAGGCACAGGCAATGTTTTTGCGGCATGAAGGGTTTCTGGGAGCTTTAGGTGCATTTATGAGCTATGAAAAGCATGGTCTTGATGACTTGATGGTCCATCAGTTAGTTGAAAGGTTCCCTATGGGTGCACCATATATTGGAGGAAAGATTCATGGGCCAGCACTTGGGGATTTGAATGAGAAGGCAAGTGCAGTTCAGTTTTGAAACATATGACCTAGACTGGCAACTGCCTTGAAATATTTGAGCTGGTTCATGATTTTTTGTATGTTCAAAATGCAGGGTAGTCTTGCATTAAACATAATGGTAGCTGGTCTCCCTGACCTAATTTCTTGAAAGCCGATCTCTATGTATAAACATTTTGACAGTTTGGTCCTATATTACTTTAATTACATTTGATAATTCAGGAGAACCCCACAATCTGTGAAATCTTTGTTTATCTAGGGATGGCAAGCATATTAGCTGCCAAAAGTAACTCCATTATGTTGATTCCTTGGTTAGCCTTTTTTCCCCATTATACTAGACACATAAGAGATATCGAATAGGAATAGATTCTTGAAGCAACTATATAGGCATTTATGCAGTGAAATGAAAAGGGATAAGGAAAAGTAAAGAAAAAGGATACATAGTGGACTAACTTGATAGCCATGAGGTAAAAGGTTGGAATCTTTAGATGCTTCTTAATAACCTATCAAGCTCAGCAATGTGATTAAATAATTGGCGACTAGAAACAAAGTCTCACCTAATTACCTTCTTGGAAAGCTAATTTATATACATATATATATATGTGTATGTATGTATGTATGTATATATATTTTCAGCTTTTTAGGATGCAAAGAACACCTGTACATAGAGCATCTTAATATAGACAATTCATGGAGATACAGATATCTGTATTTGAGGTTGTGGATAAGGCTTCATGAGCTTTCTTCCTCCTAGATCTGAGTGACAACTAGCTGCTTCTCATCAGTGAGTGTAGTCTGTGTGAACTTCCTGACTGGAAAACTTGTTTATCATTTTAATGTCTTCTAGCAAGAAAAACTTTTGATAATGGTTCAGAAGATAGAAGAAGTTTGCTCAAGCCTTTTGATTTAAGCACTAGATACCCTTTTTTCTTGCAAGAACATATATATGTACACATGCACCTGTTTGAATTGGACCTTATACATGGTTTATTGTTGATTCAAATGCAGATTTCATGGATGGAAAAGTTTGTGCAGAAGGGAACTGAGATTACTGCACCAGTACCAATGGCTCCACCTGGAACCACAGGGCTTGGTGGGTTTGAAGTTCCTTCATCCAAAGGTGGTACTCTACGTTCTGATGCCAGTGCATTAAACGTTGGT